TTTGCTTTTCAACACTAATTTTGTCCGTTACTTCTTTGATAGCTGCAAATGATGGACCGTACCTTTAAATGGATCCCTGGTCATCACATGTTCAAGTTCCATTTCCTAAACTCGTATATATTTCACCATCGGCTAATAAGGCAGTTTTGGTTGAGATTTTTTAACTATGTATAATTTGCGCCAGTAGAAAAAATATGTTTTTATACTCAGACACTCTGTAACAGTTTTTGAATTTTATTTTAAGCGAACTTTTTTTACAAGGATGGCAATAATACTAGGTGGATTTCAATTTCTGCATTTTTTAGCGCAGAAGTCTTCTCAGGCAAAACCCTCAGTAAAAAAGTTGGGATTGTGATAATCATTGGAATTTTTGTGCATGTTATAGCATAGTTGTCAGTAGCAAAGATAGGCTCTAGCAAAGGTGAATGTTGTCAGTAACTTTGAGCACACAGGCTTACACTGAAATATAAGCAACACTTTCAACTGATTTTGAAGGGAAAAGAATGATTCCAAATGCATACTCCCCAAAAATCCACTTGAAGTAAATAATTTTACAAGACTGGATCCAGATCCAACTTTTTAAGGGGGTAAATTTTTTTCCATGTAATCTTTTGTGGCCTGTCTGATGAATGAGGCAACACTTCTGGGCTTTTTACGTGCTTTTGGACAGAAGGGAAAGTTTCATGTAATATCCTGAGATAGATAGCAAGGTAATTGTGTATAGCACATTTCCAACAGACTACATGTATTTAAAACATCCCAGGGTATTTTTGCCTATATAAAAGAAAATGTTCCTATGTTGTAATGACAATTAATTTCTTCCAGATATCAATGAATGTGCCAGCAACCCTTGTCAAAATGGAGGTGTTTGTGCCAATCAGATCAATCGCTTCGAGTGTACCTGTGCCGCAGGATGGGAGGGTGTCATCTGCGACATCAGTAAGTGTCCATTTAATCACTATGAAAAAGGACAAACAAACAAAAATGCAAAATTCTGAGCTCTGACTTGTAATAGAAGTCTCATATAGGGGCCAGATTTTTTTATGGACCATCCTAAGAAACTCTAGAATTTTAAATTAATGTCTATGTAGACTCTTAGAGACTAGCCGAATATTGTTACTTACTTTGCTGTTTTGGTTATGTTATCATCAAAATCATGTTTGTGCACTTAATGTAGGCCTTTGTTTTTGAGAACATTTTTCTAATTATTATTACTACTTTAAGTGCATAGTACATTCACTCGTAAAAAAAAATTGTTTCAGGCCAGTACATGCGTACTATTGAGCATACTTATAGGGTGCATTGAACCTCATGTAGGTTTGCAGATAAGCCAGATGGGGCACTCCCTGATAAGCAACTTTCTGATGGGAAATTGTCAGTTTCCGGCTTTGGCCTTCCAGTTACTGGTAAAATTGTGGCTCCCAGTCAGTAGGAAATGAAAAAGAATATCTCACTAAGTGTAGAAACATGTCAGGCACTCTTCAAAATACCAAATAATGAAACTTCTACTAAATATTAAATAAAGGTAGTCCCTTCTCTAAAACTGATGGGACAAATGTACATTTAGAGGTATAATCTGACACCATCCAAGCGATGCAGCTTTGCATGTTGGGAATGTGGGGCATTGGAGTATTTCCACCCCTCCCCCTGTCTTCTTGCCCCTTAGTTCCCCATCTGTACGACCACACCACTGTCTATTTCAGTCAGTCTGCCGTTAACATTTACACAAAGTAGCGTTTGGAAATCAGATATTATTTTCGAATTCCCCCCCTTAAAAAAAAATTATTTGGCTACCCAGTGCGAAGAGCAGACAATATGAGAGCAGCCTATATCCTTTTTTTTCTGTTTTGTTCTGTTTCCCTTCCCTGCAGACATTCAGGAATGTAACAGCTCCCCTTGTCGCAATGGTGGTCAGTGTGTGGATGGCATCAACTCCTTCACCTGCAATTGCGCCGCTGGCTTCACTGGCACTGTCTGCGAAATCAGTAAAGTTTTCCTGTTCCTTACAATCACTCCTCTTTTGTCTAACCCTAACCTCAAAAATTTTAACCTTAATCAAGAAGTTTTTTCCTGCAGGGATTTCGTTTTTTTTTTCCCACTGGCAAAAACAAAGGTGATAGGTGGTCGCAACAGAAGAAGGTTTTTTCTTCCAGGTTGGTCAACTGAAAAATGTTGAGCATGCACATGCCCCACATGTACATGACGAACGTCAGTGTCGTAAGTAGTGGCCAGACTCATGAATCTGAGGTCTTTTGGGGCCAAAGGTCATGGGTTTGCTGGTCGGTGACTTTTCGTTTGAAAATTTACCGGCCAGATTTGTCACAAATTGCATGTTCTCATGGTGTCATGGTGTGGGTACAACTAACAGTTTTTTTCTTCTTCCACCTTATACTTGCGTCTCTGTCCTTTCTTTCTTTTTTTTTTCTTCCCTTTTTCCACTTTTCCCCATCCCTCCCTAAAACCCACACAACTACAGAATTAGGGCATAGGCATGTAAACTAGGCATAGTCGTAGGGACAAAACTATATCACTCATTCCAGATTACCCGTAAATCGCCTCCAATAAGTCAGGAAAGAAAGTCACTCACACTGTTTGCTCCAAGCTCAAAATGACAAGTCAGAGTATCTGTGAACTTCACCTTTTCAAAATGACATACATGTCTGATAGTGAATGTACTGAATTCCAAACCACCAGTTTTGAATGCGATCTACTAGGAGTTTCCTGACTTAGTGGGGGAATGCACGAAGAAAAAACCAGTGGAACTCTCCGACGACCTTTAACCTTTTGTGTCTGCCAGTGGTTTTTATGGAAAGACAGTTGCCTGAAATTCCCTCAAAAGTCCCTTTCCAGTCAGAGAAGTCTTGCAAGCTTTTGCTAAAAAATAGCACTTGAGTAAGAAAAAAAAAGTGGGCAACTGTTGTCAGCCACACCGCAGCATAAGAGAGTAAGGGGCCTGGCGGGGGTATGCTTGACCGTGTTTTTCCGTGTAGTGCATTTTACGGGAAATGTGAAATTGGTTTGACAATCAATTTCACATTTCCTTCTCCCGCTTCTGTTCCCTTTTGCCAGACATCGACGAATGCTTCAGTGCTCCGTGTCAAAATGGCGGGCTTTGCGTTGATGGTGTTAACGCCTACTCTTGCGTATGTCTAGCTGGTTTTACCGGAGCCCAATGCCAGACTAGTGAGTACAAGTTACTAAATTTCAAAGACGTTGTGACCTCTACATGTATTTTTGCTGCAGACTTTCAGAAAATTCTTTTCACTTTGGCTTGGATTTGACTCGAAAAATAACAACACAGCATTTATAAGGTGCACAGTATGTGACAAAAGTTGACATTAAAACTGGGTCATTATTATTATCCTTGTAAACCGTATTTGGCTCAAAACATTTTTGAAATCATCTCAGCTTCCTGGAGATTATACAGATTCTGCCATTTCAGATGCAGGCAGCTAAATGCAATAGCCATCTTTGCCCTCATTGGTACCCAGTTACAATCCTGGACGGAGATAAGCACATAGGAGGACTTTAACCCAAGATAACAAAAAGTAACCAGCTGTTGAATTTGAACCCATTCCTCATGGTCGGGATCTAAGAGCTTCAGCCATCAACCCACATGTCCAAAATAACTACAGGGAAAAACTCTGACTGAATGGGACTGAGCACCTAGAGTCTATAAGTGCAGTGGTAGAATATGAGCCAATCAAATGCTGTAGGCAGCACACAGCTGGCACTTGTTATTGAGAAATGACTCCTGCACACTCTGTGCTATGTGCACTGGGACAAGCAATTCACATTCACTTATGTTGCCCCAAGAAACATTTTTCCTGTTAAAAAAAAATCTGTCTTCTTAAAGCAGTTTTAGCAAGGCTCACTCACAATTTCCTTCCCTAGATATCAATGAGTGCATGAGTGGGCCATGTCGCAATGGTGGCGTCTGTGTCGATGGCATCAACATGTACGAATGTAACTGCCCCACTGACTACACTGGTGTCCACTGCGAAACGGGTAAGTTGGAACCTGAAAGGGTTCAAATTAGGGATAGCCTATGGATGTAACCATCAACTTCTTTACTATAACCTAGACATGACATTTACTTTTATATCATGAGTTTGGGTGACCAAAACAGGCCACGTCATGCAACAGCAATGTTGTTTATACACAAGCATAACATGCTTCATTTCTTTGAATCATGCATCATGTTCCTGTCATTAATTACCATGTTCTTTCATGTCCAACACTTTGATCACAATTTTTGTTATCAACTGTTGTTTTTTGGTTAAAGTTAAGATACCAGTGGGTGGAACCTAGTAGCATACATGTGAGAATTGGCAACTTTAATGCATGACATCTTGGACTTGTTGATCAATCAGTAATAGCTTACTGTCTCTGCATTCTCAAGCCAGTGCATAATTGTGCAAATGGTACATCATAGTCATACATTGATCTTGTTACGAGTTGAACCAATACATTACCCTCGTCTTGTAAAACAGCATTCTTGGAAATCTACACAATGGCTTCCAGCAATTTTGATCATTCTCCCAACATAGCTCAGATTATTTCCAAAGTAATGCTTTCTGAAATGTTGGAAAGTTGAGACTTAGGTTCCACAGTTTTACTGCCAATATTTCTGGCCAAGGCTATAAACTAAAAAACATAATCAGGTGGTATGGGTTAATTTGAGCAGCTGGACTCACAAAAGTAAACACTCAGATAAAGACTTCATAGATTATTAAAGAGATTGCTTACATTTTTTAAATCGTGCACAATTCAAGTCATCCCTCGCTTTCCTTTCCATTTTTAGATCTGAATACTTGCCGGAGTAGTCCCTGTCGGAATGGCGGCCGCTGTGAAAATCAAGGCCCTGACTATGTCTGCATCTGCACGTCAGCATACACAGGACGAAACTGTCAATATGGTAGTTTCGGTGTTTTTCTAGCACAGGCTACCTCTGTGGGGGGGGGAGCTCCTGCTCTGTGTTAGTGTGGCACTGGGGTCCCAAATTTTAGTGTCTAAGTGATTTATTGATCGTTAACTTGGACCAGTTTATGTAATTGCTTTACAAAAATTCTGCATCAGACTCTGATTGTTTTAGTCATATTATACTGGAGTCACGGAAAAAGAAAATAAATCTTTGCAGTTTTAACAAAGAAGCATGCTCCTGTTTGTACATAGTACATATGCTCTCCATGTAGGCCCAGTAATTGTTCAAGCTGGTTTATCGACCCAAAGGTGTTATTTTAATAGGATTTTACTAGGTTTTAGGCTTTTTGATTCAAAGTTCTGCATTGTTAGGGTTTTGATCATTGCTCAGCTACTCACTTTCGCTGTTTATATAAGAAGTGCAGGCTTCACACAAACATAGCCATGTAGGAGAGAACCCTTGCCTTGTTAGTTAAAACCCACAGCTTTAAAAAGTCTGTAGAAATTTTGTGTTGGCTCAGCTCAACCTCTTTCATGGCTGTTTGGTATATTTCTTACTGTCTTGTACTGAACAATCCTGCCATAAAGCAAGATAATGAGTGCTGTTCTGTTTCCCCAGAAATCAATTCCTGTGCCAGCGTGCCATGCCAGAATGGTGGAACCTGCGTAGACTCCCTGACTGGCTACACATGTACTTGTCGTCCAGGCTACACTGGCTATAACTGTGAAACTGGTAACTTCCTGCATACTTTTTCATCAATTTTCTGCGTACTTTTTCATCAATTGTCTTTCCCTATTTACTCAACGATTTATGTTTTCCCCTGAGATGGAAATTGTACAGCAGTTAGTTCCAAGTTTATACGGATTCCATCTTTCCCCAGCTTTTCTCCATTCCAAAAAGAAAGTATCTATTCTTGATAATCATGAAAGCCACTAGAGCATAGAATGCTCAGGAAAGATACCCAGTTTTGTCAAAGCTAAGTGGGCATTGAGTTGTATGAAGCAACCAGGACATGATTTCTGGATGACTCTCAAGTTGGCAGGTTACTCGCAGCATGGGCATTTGTACGTCAAACAATATTGGAATCGGACCCTGGTGATATTGCATTCCTTTAGACTGAACCGTTCTGGTCTCAGATTGTATGCTATTACAAATTCAGGTTTCCTCAGTTTTTGCAGAAAATTTGTACCCCCTTTTGGAGTCTCTGATACCAACCAGCACACCCATAATCCCTGTTGTGACAACCTTATCGACATGACCCCAGTTTGGTTGGATGTGAATCGATTCTTTCACTTAGTTTTTTTCCTGTTGACAGTGACGTTCTGTGACCTGGCAGGCACCTGGTACAATGACTTAGGAGACGTGGTCACTCTCAGCCAGACCGGCTCCGGCATGCTCCTGGGAGAGTACAAGACCAATTTTGAGAGGACCGTGGGATACATGGGTAGGTAGTAATGTAGCAGCTGAACAAAGCTGTGCCCACATGGTTTGTGTTAGCTGCAGTCGGTTTACACATGTCTCTGGTGAAGCCACTAGCTAATGAATAAAACCCATTTTGCATAGACGTGTGTGCATTTGATGGTCATATGCAAATGTTGCAGACACACCTTTACACAAGAAGCCTCTGGCTTTTAAAATGTGAGCTTTGGGTCATCCTTATAAGCTTCATCAGCTGTGTGTGACAAAAAAGTCTGATTTGCCACGTGCAGCTGTTGTTGAAGGATACAAATGAAGAAGGTCACTTTATTCATGAAAGAAAAGTTCCTCTAAGCAATACAGGGAGGGTTTGCCAAAATGAAACTCTGCAACTACTGATTTATATGCACTCTATCAACAGTTTTTGCTTTTTTAATTTTTATGTTCAACAATTTTTGGCTGTTCTTATTTTGATTTTGTCGGCCGTCCACGCAGCTCCCACTGTCCTGGTTGGCTATGCCACCCGTGGGGTCACCTTCCCTGCCTTTGGCTTCACTGTGGTTCGCAACAACGGCCAGATGGCCAGTAGCTGGACCGGCCAGTGCCACTGGTGTGGGGGCACCGAGGTCCTGCTGACTTCCTGGA